TGTAGGTTGTTCATTAGTTCACGGAATTTGGCATCAGTGAATTGAGTGTCGTTGTCTGTAATGACTTCTCTCGGAATGCCAAAGCGGTAGACTATACTACGCCAAAAGAACCTTCTTGCTTTTTGGGATGTAATGGTGGCCAAGGGTTCTGCTTCTACCCATTTGGTGAAGTAATCTATGGCGACGATCAACCACTGAACTCGCCCAGCTGCCATTGGGAAAGGGCCTAGAATGTCAATTCCCCATTTGTAGAAAGGCCATGGCGAGGTAATTGACGTCAATTCTTGAAGCGGAGCTTTGTGTATATCGGTGAACCTCTGACATTGCTCACATTTTTTGACGTGTTCTCGGGCGTCGTGCTCCATAGTTGGCCAATAAAATCCCGCTCTTAATGCCTTCTTTACTAGCGAGTGACCGCCCATATGGTGGTCGTTGATTCCTTCATGGATTTCTTCTAGCACATACTAGACGTCCTCCGGATTCAAACACTTCAGGAGTGGGGTGGAGAGTCATCGCTTGTATAACCGCCCTTGCACTATGCAGAAATGAGCACTTTTTCAGACAATTTTCCTGGCTTCTTTTTGGTCAGGAGGAACGATCCCTTCAGCTAAGTAGTTGATAATGGGCGTGATCCAGGTTCTTTCTGCTGCTTCGGGGGCCGGCGTCGAGATGCTCATGACTATGCATGGGTTTGGCATATTGTGCTGGATGACGGACCGGTTGTTGCCTGGGATCTTGGTGCTGGCCAGTTTGGCGAGAATATCTGCCTGTGTATTTTCAGCACACCTAATGTGCTCTACCTCGACACTTTCGAAACTCTGAATTAGTTCTTTGACTCTTTCTAGATATTTGCACATCAGAGGTCCTTTGGTCTGGTATTCCCCGGATATTTGAAACGTCACAGCTGGGAGTCACTGAAGACTTTGAGGCGTCGGGCTCCCATCTCTCTTGCTTGGATTAGGCCAGCTATCATGGCCTCATATTCCTCTTGTTGTTTGTAGCATTGAACTCAAAAGACAATGAATGTTCGATAGATACTCCATCTGGATTTTCGACTATCATTCCTGCCCCTGAGCCTTTGGCGTTTGAAGAGCCGTCAACATATAGCTTCCACATCTCTGATGATGGCGTTACTTCGGATTGGTTCCTGGGCGGGACAGCTTGCATCATTTCGGCGATGAAGTCTGTAAGGGCTTGAGCCTTGATGGCAGTTCTTGGCTCATATGTGATTTGGTACTCTGATAGCTCAATCGCCCAGGACATCATCCTTCCAGCTATGTCAGGCTTATGCAGGACTTGACGAATTGGTTGGTTGGTCCAGACCGTGATTGGATGGCATTGGAAATAGGGCCTCAACCGCCGTGCTGCAAAGATGAGCGTCAAGGCAACCTTTTCTACCTGCTGATACCGGAGCTCCGCGCCTTGGAGAACCTTACTAATAAAATAGATAGGTTTTTGTCCTCATTCTTTGGATTCTTGGACTAGGGCTACGCTGACAGCTTCGCTTCCTACCGCAAGGTACAAATAAAGCTTTTCCCCACTGTCTGGCTTGGTTAATACTAGTGGGCATGAGAGGGCCCTCTTGAACTCCTGGAAGGCTTTTTCGCATTCTTCCGACCATCGAAAGGTGTTCCCTTTTTTTAGGAGACTGAAAAGTGGAAGGGATTTATGCGCGGAATTCGCCAAAAAACGAGTGAGGGATACTAACCTTCCTGTCAGCTATTGGACTTCTATAACTGTTTACGGGCTTCGCATTTCTATGATCGCCTTGCACTTGTCAGGGTTGACCTCGATACCCCTCTCTGTGAGCATGAATCCAAGGAATTTACCTGCAGGAACGCCGAAGGCGCACTTACTGGGGTTGAGGCGCATATTGAATTTTCTCAATCTGTCGAACACGCCTTGGAGGTCTGTCAAGTGCTGGCTTGGCGTTCTACATTTGACGATCATGTCATCGATATAAACTTCGATGCAATTGTCGATCAAGTCTCTGAATACTTCATTCATCATTCGTTGATAAGTGGCGCCTGCATTCTTTAAACCGAAGGGCATCATGGTGTAGCAGTAGTTGGCGTTCTGGGTGATGAACGTTGTCTTACACTGGTCCTCTTCCAACAAAGGTATTTGGTTGCAACCAGAGTATGCATCCATGAACGACAACATTTTGAAACCGAATGCATTGTCAACCAGCTGATCTATGCTGGGAAAAGGGTAGGCGTCTTTAGGGCATACCTTGTTTAGGTCAGTATAATCAACGCACATTCTCCACGCCCCGTTTGGCTTCTTAACCAGGACGAGGTTGGATAGCCACGTGGTGTACTTGATTTCTCGGATGAACCCTGCGTCGTGGAGTCTGGGAAATGGGCTTGGCTTTGGGGTCAATGGACAAACGATGGCAACATACTTTGGGATCGATGCCTGGCATGTCAGATGGTTTCCATGCAAATAGGTCTCTGTTGTCTCTCAGCAGCTTAATCAACTTGTCTTTTGTTTCGGGATCCAGGGTCGCCCCGATGGTTGTTGCCTGATGATTATCATCGCCCAGCACGACGTTCTCTAATGCACCGTCTGGCGTGGGCCTAGCATGCTCTACTTGCGGATCATCTCTTGCATCAAATTCTACCAAGAAACACTGATCGTGAGCTCCCCCTTTCTTGGAAGGTCCTTCATTGGTGGGCAGGTCCCCCACTTGTTGAGATGCTGGCTGATCTTTGAAAGTAACATTAGTCATTGGTTGCAAGGATATATTATAGCAACTTCTGGCTACTATCTGGTCACCTTTCACCGTTGCGACCTTATTGTCTCTGGCGACGAACTTCATCGCCAAGTGTGGATGGGAGATGCTCGCCTCAAAGGCGGCGAACATTCTTCTGCCGAGAATGGCATTATACACAGAAGGAGTGTCCAGCACTAAGCACTGGATATCTACTGACTTTGATGTGGGTGGCGTTCTGAGGGAGAGACGTAGACTGATCACGCCCAACGACTTGGTTGTGGTTGCGTTGAAACCTGAAAGTTCTCCTGCGACTGGGGTTAAGTCATCAACTGTAAACCCCAGCGCCCTGAAACATGGCAAAAACAAAATATCAGCGGAACTGCCGTGATCGACAAATACACGGTTAACGCCATAGTTGGCAATTATGGCTTGAATGACAAGAGGGTCATCATCATGTCCTGGGAGGACATCGCCTAGATCGCTGTTATCCCAAACAATTTTGGGCCTGGTCGGACTTGAGCCTATTTTACTAATGACTTTTCCAGCAACCGCCATACATTGCTTCATGTGCTTTTTTCTGGCGTTCGACGTCTCACCGCCACCGCTCAATCCTCCGGAAATCATATTTATAACTTTGTGCTTGACGGTTGCGGGTCTTCTCCCTCGTTGTCTCGCATTCCTCTGTCGTTGGGGCTTGCTTGCGCTCTCCGGCTCCCTGGAGAGTCTTCTCTTCTGTCACGCTCATGTCGTGGTCGAGAGTTCACCTGCCTTGCTCGTCGTCTCTCTGGCGATTTACTGCGCTCCCTGTACCGCCTTCCGGTTCCCGATTGGCGTGCACCATCACCATCTCTTCTTTGAGCACCGCCCTTAATGAGCTCATCAATCTCATCTTTGAGGTGCCTGCACTCCTCAGTACTGTGGCCGTTACTGCGGTGGAACTTACAGTAGACCGCGGCTTCTCTAGCTGGTTGCTGAGGGCATTGATTTCCCCTGGAATCATCTTTATAATCCGTCTGTAGGACGCTGTGAGTTTGGCGCCTTGTTGTGTCACGCCTCGAAGGGCGGTTGGTATATCTAGCTGACTTATGTCCCTTCTTACTATCTTCTGTTGGGCTCTTATTTTTGCTGGCTGCCTTCTCTTGGCTGTAGGCATCATCAGCTCGACTTCCCTTGTATTCTTCAACTCTCATATACTCCTGGGCCACTTTCCTAACTTCTTCTAGCTCAGTAATTTCGTGGCGCGCTAGCTCGTAGGCAAACGACCCCGCTCGTAAGCCTAAAAGGAGTATATGAACCTGCACTTTTGGGTCTAAGCCTTGCACCTGTAGGGCTTCTTTGTCAAAGCGGTCTAAAAAGGATCGAAGAGACTCCCCAGATTTTTGGCGGATTTTCTCGAGTGAGAGAACGGACTTTGGCACGGGGCGGCTGGTTGCGAAGTGGGACTGGAACTTGCTTGCTAAGTCGTCCCAGGACGCGATGCTTCCAGTCGGTAGGGTAGTGTACCATGTCTGCGCTCTCCCTCCCAGAAGCGTAGGGAAAGTTCTGCACATAAGGAGGTCCGTTTCGCCATGCAGCGTCATTGCTGCTTCAAACTTTTGGACCCATTCAAAAGGGTCTGTCTCTCCAACATACGTGGCAATGTTGGAGGGGCCTTTAAAGCCTAGGGGTATGGGAGTCAACCGTAGGATGTCGGTCAAGGGCTTGTTGTGCCCTGACGTATGAGTAGAGGTTATTCTGACGTTGTGGTTGTGGGCTTGGTGGTCTGGCTGTGGATGAGGTATATGTGGGGACTCAACGGAGTAAGAGAGAAACGGAGTAAGAGAGAGCTGGGGCGTGATTAGGGGCCTGATGGGCGATATAAGGTGGTTGTCCGGCATTCTGGCCAGACGCTAGGGGTTGTAGGGCGGCAATGTGGTGAGGTGGCATGGCGTAGCCATGGAAAGGGTAACCAGCGATGTAAGGTTTGGGGAAAGGAGCAGCGATATTGTGGGTGTAAGATCCTTGTGGGTGTGGGGCGCCCATGGGGGCTCGGTGAGCGTTATACATCGCTACCGGTTGACTGCGGGCTGGTTGTGATCGATAAGCGGTTGGGTGAACTGGAGGGGCAGCAGCGTGGAATGGTATTCCAAAGTGAACTCCTGGAGGTGGGGGCTGATCAGGGACCACATTTTCTCCTTGCATTTCATGTATAGGTGCACGGTGACCTGGCTAAGCTATTCTGGCGCCAGCTGCTGGCAACTGTGGCCCGGCAGATAGTAGTACTGGTGGGACAGCCTCTGCAGCGTGTCGCGCAGCTGGGGCTGAACGCATGGATGGCGGGGAGTTGGAATGTACAGTTTGTACGTGACCATCAGGGGTGACAGCCCTGGCTTGTTCCGCTCTTCTAGTCGTGACGACCATGTTAGTTATTCAGATCGAAAGGACGTCTTGTGATCTTAGGTAGGAGGATGGGAATAGAAGTTTATAGTTCCCACAGACGGCGCCAATGTACCGTTGGAATCTATAAGCCTACTATGTTCCCTTTAGGGATGAGTCAATGTATGGATGATACCCTTAGCACAGGTACAGACCAAGCGAAGGGGTATAGTGCCACGTACAAGCAAATAATCAATGGATAAGCTAGGGTGATAAAATGACTCTAAGGAAATGGACAGTATAACGATACATAAGATGCTCCTGGGGGTGCCCCTGGAGAGCTATTTATAAGGGAAGATTGTGCTTACCGGGTGAAGGTTGGTGGGGAGAAGGTCAACTCTCCTTGGGACCATATGCCGATGGCAGTGTTGGGCGTGACAGGCGCTGCCATCGTAGCAGCGCTGTGCCTTCTGCGTCTGGCGGTGTCAGCATAGGTCCCAGGGGGACAGTTTCCTCTTAAGGCAATTGGGCGACCGCTTTCGGAAGTTGAGGTCCCTATGTGGGATACTTTGGTGTTTAGCCTTGAGAAGTTACCACATTGGGGGGTACGCGTCGCCCCAGCTGGTAGGGCTGACGTGGATGCTTGGTAAGTGCTGGGCCTTGACTATTGGGCCTGACTCTTGTTGGGTCATCAAGAACACTACCTAATAGACCTTCTTTGTCTCCATGGGTGAACTCAATCTAGGAATTAGATTCCTAAGAGAAATCCTTGTCCTTAGATTCAATCACATGGGCTATGTCAAACACTTAGTCATCATATGAAATTCATCAAGCAAACACTTATCCTTTATGTCTGCATGAGACTCATCCCAAGATAGGAAATTTCTTAAAGAGGTCTTCTCTTGCCTCCATGCACGAGCTCACTCTAGGAATTAGATTCCTAAGAGACCTTCTTCTTTACCTTCAAACCTGGCCAGGCTTTCATTATCACATATCATGCTCATTTTCACATTCCTTCATCATCAAGATAACACACAGCATTTTTGTTTTTTCATTCACATTAAACATGCATCAAGCTTAAGGCTGTCAACACTTAAAGCCATCAACCACACCTTCATATTCAATCACGCATCAAGGTTCCAAACTTACACTGCGTTATCTTCATACCAATGCATTTAAAAAAACATAGCAAATCACCCATTACACATTTCAGCCATGAAAATATCTATCGACTACAATAATCTTTTCATCTATTATGTCATAGCAAGGGAACAAATTCATATGCAATTATCAAGGAACAACCAAAGGGAAAGAGAATTCAAGGTTCTCATGCTTACCTCTCCTTCCTAATGTTTGTGAATTTATCTCTTGAAGAAACCTCTTCTTCACGCCCCAAAAAACAGAGGAAGAGTGAAGATAAGCTTGGTTTTCAGCCAGCCTCTAGTTTTGGCCTTTTTCTTCACACAAATGCCATTCCAATTGGCAACTAAAGATGAAACGAATACATTTTTTGGAATGAGCGAAGAGTTTTAACTGTAGGTAAATCCCGACTTAGAATTTGTCTCGTAGCCAGCTCAAAGAGTTAAAATTTGTTGAAGATACCTTAGCTGACTTACCTCAAAAAGATAATTAGGATAACTAAAAAAAGGCTAGATTTGCCGAGATAGAGTGGAGTGGGAAGACTTGTATGAGTCCTTTCCGAATTACCTCAAAGACCAAGAGACTCCCCATAGAAAACAAAGAAGGCTTAAAGCCTGAAACCTATGAAGTAGAAGGAATTTTTACACTCCTCTAAAACATCAGCAACCATAATGCTCAAAAGGAGGACCGTAGCATTTTTCTCAATTCTGGAAGTACGGGAAATTATGAAAATGGAAGAGGAATTTTCTGGGATGAAGCCGTGGAGGAATTGAGGTGGCTGAAGGAGAAGGGAGGAAACGATTTCTGAATTCAAAGTTTCGTGAAGAGAATGGAGGCCAAGATCATAATTTTAGAAACTTGCTTTAATTGGGTGCAACCAATAGCATGATTGAGTTTGTGTACCTCAGCATGCACCCTTAAGAATTTAATCATTTGGCTGTTGGGATCATGAGACTAACACACACGCAAACCTAGCCATAGCACCTTCAAAAAATCGAAACTTGCCCCTCTTGTTGAAAATTAGAAATCTGCCCAATTTACACTGAATCGGAATCAACCAATAAGGGGTGTTACATTCTCCCCATTGGGTTAATTAAGGTGAGGTGCTATAATAGACCTCAATAACACGGGAATGTTATAATAGACCTCAATAACACGGGAACACGTAATGTCAAGGAAGACTTCTTCGAGAAAATGGCAATAAATCTTACTTGTAAAAGTTAATATTTGCAGAACCTATCTATCTATATCGAATGCATGTGTTCCCAAATGGTTCACTACGACGACACGTAATGCACTTAAAGATGTAGATCATTATTATCGTCATTCAGCATGAGAAACAATCCTTGCTGTGAATTTTTATCCGTGATACTACTTAATGATTATTTCGGTTTAGGAAGTACTGTTCATACAGTCATATTGCTAACATGCGTTATAAAAAAATTTCATTAGTGAAAGCATAGTCCATAAAAGAGGTGCGAATAATTTTAAAATCACTAATTAGTAGCCACTGCCATCAAAATAGATCAGCGAAACAAATAAAGTAAAGTTCTTGAAAGAAATAAAGAATTTCTCAGAACTTTATTCAAGTAGTCCGAGGTACAAGGACCTACTGCTACAAAAAGAATGAAAGATTATCAAAAAGGGAAGCAGCTAACATCAAATTGAGAAAACAATGGGAGACCAACGTCACTAAGATGACCATAACGACTTTACATAGTAATCACAAATCCAATTCTATGCTCCAGCTCACAGAAAAGGTTCTTCCACCAAAGTTGGAAAAACACCTAGGCCCTAGAACCCCAAATATCAGCTTGCCATGCAGATTGCCAAATGTTAGGCCTGCACAAAGAATGTAATATAAATTCTTATCCTAATTGGTTAATATCTTGCCGCTGCTATTTTCCCTGTTGTTAGAAAGCCCATTTAGCTAAACGAAGTTAACAAAGTTAGACTCTAGACTATTCTGCATTAAGTAAGACAGGCAGCAAATTAAAGAATCAATTCAATATACTCTATAAGCCCAGGACTGAAGGGCCTCGGACTTTCGGGCGCTTTGGAACATTCTCTATGGAAGGCGGTTCCGTATTTATCTGCTGCAACCTATCTCTCCGGTGGTGTTCCCCTTGTATATTCACTTCCTCATTATTATTTGACTTCTTATACCTCATAGATATGGGAATGCTATTTCCCCTTGCAAATCTGTTCCTCAAGGAAATGTCACCATTAACTTTATGACTAACACAATGAGTGTATTTGTAACTTGATTCCTTGGTTTTCCTGAAATCCACCGTGTGCCTACTTCCTTCACGATTGACTTTTTTCAAAGGTTTGAGTCCCTGCAAACATACATACAATATGGCATCAAGGTCCATGTATTCGTAGAGGAAGAATTAGATAGTGAATTAAGAAGATAGACAATATTGAGAATGTAGGAAGATAAGTATAGCTTAAAGGATAAATTCTTGATTAGACCTAGTCTACTCCGGTTATATGGACTAAACCAATAATAATTAACATGTCATCATTTTATATTAAATAATTATATAAATTCTTGTACCACTTATACATTCAATGATGTATTGATTGTTGATTGGTTTAGTCTACATTTATATAAACAAAGTCTACACAAGTCCGTCTCAGATCAAAGAGCCATTACACATACATGAATATGGATGAAATATTTGACAATACCTGCTGCTCAGAATGTTTTCTCCTCTCAGCCCTCAGAGAAGAAGGGCGCTTTACCCTAAATATCCCTGGATCAGAATCATCACTATCATTATCTACAATGATCTTCGTGTCAAATTTATGAAGATTGCCCTTAGATTTATTTGGGATTTCATGATATTGAGCAGGTAGCAAAGATTCAGAAGCACTGTTGGATATTCTTTCACTAGTCTCTTCAAAATCAGTAATGCCTAATTTAAAGTTGGCACGCCCCTCATCCTGCAACCACAATAATAAAAAGAAACGTAGAAAACTTTAGTTCAGAAGTAGATACTAGCAGTTCTAATCCCTGCACAACGACAATATTCAAAAACCATACACAATGACTTACGTTATTGGGAGCAGAGGAGATCACAAGAGGTTCTGATAGAGAACAAAGGGCAGATGCAGCAGAAGAAAAAGAAACCACAGACACTTTGGGTTTAAGATTTTCAAAGCAATGTCTTGAAACAAATTGACTTTGTGTAACACGCTCTTCATTATTTGTTGACTGCTCTGGGGTTGTATAAAAATCAGTAACATAATCACATTTCGTCTCACAATAAGGTGTATATCCATTTGCCTCAGCCTTCTGGAACATATTTGATAAAGGATATGAATACATGTTTTTGTCACTTTTGGTCTGCTGAAGTATCTCATTCCATATCCCATCCTGCTGCTCAAATCTCTTGGCTGCAGCTTCCATATCTGAAACATCTTCCCTCACATAAAGCGTGTGTTTGCTCCCACAGGGGAAGTCAAGAGATTCAATATCTGAATTATCAAAATTTGAAGATATTAAAAATGATAAAATCGCATGACCAAACAAGTATGCATGACTTAATCATGTTTTTAGTCACTCTTGATTATATATTTATCCTGAGGCAAAGAAACAATTTAAAGGTTTCCTCATTGTTATACACTAGATATGGAAGAAACAACTGACTATTTATCTGACAACAAAAATATCAAAGCTACTAATTACATTGAGCAAGGTATAGTAATAATAAACATCAAAAAGCATGTGAAAACCAAACTTTAGCAAGGTCAAACTGATATTAGTCAATATAATTGAGAAAAGCTTACCATGGCGAAGGCATACTGGATGCTTGTGACAGTCACAGCCAACATAAGCTACATAACAGTCGCGTTTGCAGAGGCTACAGAAAATTGTACCATGGGAATGTGAAGAAACCCTTAAATACACCCTTGATTTCATTAAGAGCCAACGAGCACAATGCTGAAAGCGCATCAAATTAACAAATGAAATCCGAACGTAATAATGAGATAACAAGTCTTCAGAGGGAAAGTCTGGCTCTTCAAGTTCTAAACTTGCATAGAGAAGCATTGCTTCTTTGCATAAAAGTTCTTCATGGGGCAGCAAAGGAACCCTGTTAAGAAGTGCATATCTCTGGCTAGAAATAGCCCCTAAAGGAAACCAATCACCAATTGCAAAGTTAACTGCTTCTCCACAGTTGAAACCTAAAATTTAATGAAAATATATACAATTAAATATTTAATACTATCACTGGGTTGGACTGGGAAATACGTAGTGGGACATATCCTTGGAACTAAAATGTACTGAACATGTGCAAATAAATCTTACCATGACTAAAGCCGGCATGATATGCTCTGGGGAAGGTTATTATAAACTCCCCCGGATTTTGAACAGCCTTGTAGACAGGGACTTCATGCTCCAACAAAATATTTGGTGGAAACAGAGTTGTTTTCCCCAGTAGAACATCGAATGCTCCATCTTCCCCGTCACTTGACAAAATATCATTAGTATACACGTGTTCTCTGACCACCCTTTCAAATTCCAAAGCTGCATGACCTGGAATGCCATACCAAGTTTTTGATGCTCCACAGTGATGGTAATTAATGCTGCCATAGCAATATAAATATCATTAAACAAACATAATAAGCAGGAAATCTTGGTTTATGATGATGTTATATAGAATTTATTATGAAAATAAGCAACCTTTACCTGTACAAATAATGATCCTCCACATGCCAAGCAAACATGCTAAACAGCATCCCAATGTATAGCATGGGTTCTGTTACTCCCTGAAATTAAACCCAATATATATGGATAAGTAAAGAACAAAAAGAGTTCTGATCCAAACATAAGAAAATAATTGTCATACCGGTATTGATGTCTCCAATAGCCGCAAAATAGACTTGGGCAACCATGAAAGTTTCTGAGGTCATAGAAAAAAATATACTTCACTAAGTTAACCAAAATGTCAAAAAAAGGCTAGATCAGAGTTCAACAAACAAAACAGGAAAATCTCTACACTAAATAGGGGAAATGAAATAATATCAACATGAACAAAATTGGAGTGTTACAATAGTAAACTGAAGAAAAAAACTGCATAGCATGGATGTTATACAGCCCGAGTGACCCTGGAAAAGACTCAAAAAAGGAGTGGGTCCCACCTCCCTTGTGGGGCCCACACCCACTGTCTCATATGTGCTATCCATGCTACATTGCTTTCAGGATATGCACCGTGCTACATTTTTAATACTCCCTCCATTTAAAAATGATTGTCACGTTAAAACCATTTCAAAATAATTGTCACTTTAGAAGTTTGAATTTAATTCAAATTATTTATCACTTTAGAGAACCAAGAATAATAGTTACTTTTTCCAACTATATCATTGTCTTTTGGCATCTCCACTTAGTTGAATGAATGAGCATTAATGGAGTAAGAGGGTAATATTGTAAAAGCAAATTATACTTTCTTCAAATTAAGAGTATTTAATGACATTTCTTAATCCTTGTGCCAAACAAGGACAGGAGTAGTAACCATAAGAAACTAATGGCAAACTACTAAGCAATACAAGATAAGAATGGTTTAACCGCACATAAATGCAATAAACTCCAGCCAATCACATTTCTATCCTCCTGACACTTAGTGACCAAATAGGTTAAAGAATTGACAACAGATAGATACTTCCTAAGAACAACATTTTACAAAAATATAATAGCCATAAATGTATGAGAAAATTTTGGGGAAAAAAGGCTCTTTACTATTTCTTTTCTGAAAGATTTCCTTTCATGACGTTTCAATAAGGATAGAGCAAAATTATAACGATTCAGTAAGGATAAAGCAATAGCAAGAAGCATCATTTGTTAGAACTATTTCCTGTTCTAGAATTAGAGAAAATGACCAGTAGACCAAAAAAGAACAAGAAGAAGTAGAAACAATAAAACGAAGAAAAGAAAAGAAACTAGCAGAATTAAAACCTTCAAATTGCATTTGCTTGTCCCAAGCTGATCGGTAGGCGAAGATGAAAAGGCACTGCCATCAACATCACAAGCATATTCAACAGTTTCCATCTTCCCACAACCAATTTCATTCCAAAACTCTTTTTCCAAGTATGTGGCAGAAAGACATCCAGCACTGCAATATCTTTGCACAAAAACCTTGTTTGCCATCTTTTCAAAATCACGAAATGTATAATTTCTGAACAAATTATAGCCATATTAAAATCCAAAAGTGATAAATATAATATAAATTACAATAATGACAAATACAGTAAGAAAACAGACCTTCCACTCATGAAAAAAGTGATTTTGTCTTCAGTATCCCATTCAGCAAGGCGAAGGGGCTGCACTCTAGTTGTAAACTTGAATCCGGTTTCCTCCCTCATTAAAACAACCCCAGCAGGAACAGAAGCATGTAAAGGTGAAATAATCTTGCATATACCTGGAATTTATTATGGATTCAAAAGAAAAGGAGTTGGGTCATAATTTGACCACTCTTAAATCAAATGTCTGATTACTAAAGATGGATGATCATGTGTAAAAGATTTGACCACTGGATATTTTAATAATTGGTATGGTAACAAACTTGAAATCAAAGCTAGAGACCAAGACCGAGCACTTCATAAAGACTTTTCGAACTTCGTACATGTAACCTAGCTAAACCAAAAATGACTACCATATAAACTTCTGTATTTAGCCAATATTCAAATATTGAAAGCATGTATTCGAAAACAAGACCTCTGTATTCATATACCACATATTTTCAAAAACAATACTTGGCTCTAGAGAGCTTTTGATAGTTGAAAGAGCCTCTATCATGTTTCACCTCAAAATATTCAAATATTTGGTTTCAGAAAGCACAGAAAAGGCTAGCACTCAAATAAAGTGATATTTGAATACCATCCTCCAAACATGTTTCTCAAGAAAACCAAGTGAATATTTCAATACTAACTTATGTTGAAGTTATAGAGTTTTAGGCAAGGAGGGAGGAAGACAGAGGAAAGAACACTCAGAATTATAAAATTATACAGATATTAATGTCAAGGACGTGTTATCATAAGACAAAGCATTAACCCTTTATCTTAATACTAGACTCCTACTCCTAATTGAATAAGGAAACAAATCATGAATTATAATGAACTATGAAAACTATTCCTAAAAGATTATATAAGATACTTCAACATAGTTTATGATAGAATAATGATATGTCAAGATATTTTCCAAATATTCTAATTCTCCTCCTCAAGCTAAAGCTTACTAAAGCCTGTTTGGCACAACTTATTTCGAGCCTAAAAGTTATTTTAAAGCTAAGATAAAAATAGAGCTTATAAAAAAATCTAAAAGTTGTTTGGAATATTATTATTGTTTTAGCTTAAAAGCTTATTTTATATTTAGGTTCAAGCCAAACTAAAAGGCATTTCTCAAAGGAATTCCAGCAAACACAATTCATATAAGCACATAAATGGATCAATCAATCACAGAGTCACAATAATCACTGAACAGGGTATTCTTAATTCAAACTTCAAACCCAGATTCATATTCGATAAAATCAATCCCAGATGATGCTGAAGCACGACTCAGATCCAAATGATGGAGTTTTCTTCAATCAAAACCATCTCTGATACGAGACTGCCTGCATGTCGTGTTGTAGGGTTTGAGAATTCAATCTCAAATGAGACAAAGAAGGGCACTTGGGGCAAGGGATACTGAAAGAAGCCATTTGGAACCAAACCCATGAATGAAAAACCAATTTTTCCTGCTTCTGAGCTTAAATTCCACTTGTAATATGCACAAAATGGTGGAAATGCGAAGTGGGTTGGTGAGAATGTAAGGGATTTTGGAGGGGTTGAGTTCAAAGAGGGTATGGGGAGTGAGAAGGTGTAAAGACTCACTTCAACCCAAAACCTTAAGGTGTTGGGTGAGGGCCTTTTTTTAATGATTTATATTATTCTCTAACACACCCCCTCATTCAAGAGCCCTTTGGGCTTGAAGCGTGGATTATTGTATAGGCCCAATTTTTGGTTTACCTTATGCTTATTTAATTCCACAAGTGGAGGGCGGTGAGGATCGAACCCGTGACCTTGTGGTCACTGAAGCTCTGATACCATGTAAAGAACCACCTCAACCTAAAACCTTAAGGTGTTGGGTGAGGGCCTTTTTTAAAGATTTATATTATATTCTCTAACAGAAGGGAACTCATCAATGGATGATGGAGACTACAAAGGAAGAACACAACGGTTTTTACCTATTATCTGTTGGGTGAACCCCAATTAGAATTCTGACTACTCCCCAACAAAATATTGTCAAAGAGCTTCAGGCTGAGGGAGGGGGGAAGTGGAGCATTGGACCAATGCGTGTGGAGAGATAGCATTGAGAGAAGTTGGAAGGAGAATCCGAAAGCTCCTCCTAGGAGCTTCGGAGAAAAAGCTCATTTCCTTATTTTTATTCAATAAAAAGCTACTTTTTAAGAGCTTTTATAAAAATATGTTTGGCCTAGCTTCTCCTTTAAAGAGAAGAGAAGCTAAAAGAAGTTATGCCAAACAGATACTAAGCTTCATTTAAAAAAAAAAGCTAAAATATAATGGAGCAGTAGGCAATAATGTTTAGGAAAGGAGATGAAGGGAGGCAATAATGTTTTGGAAAGGAGATGAAGCCAGAGTGTCTAGAACTGGAGACAAATAAACTAAAATATAATGGAGTGGTAGGTAATAATGTTTGGGAAAGGACTGGAGATGACAGGGCCAGCATCTGGGACAAGGACTAGAGTCCAGTAAAGCTAAATCGTGTCTAGAACTAAGGCAAGGGCCAGAAAATGTCCCTGACAAAGGCTAGGGCCAAACACCTTCCAACTTTCTGCCCATTAATATTATGCTAGCATCATAAAAGAGTCATACAGGAGCCAAAACAATGACAGATGAAAGACAAACTCAACAAAGAATGCCAAGAAATAGTCCAAACAGGTCAAACCTGACTGTCAGAGAGAACATATCAAATCTGATCATTATTCATGAGAACACACAGCTCAATGGTGTCAAACAGCCATGGGAAGGTGGTGAACAAGGGCAAGGGGCATGGAACTGAAGAGAAGACGATGAGGCAAGTCAAACAACTGGATCAATGGTCGGACATCCCCTAACTCACCAAAATGGACAACAGCCTAATGGGCTATGGCAATATGAGAAGGCAAAAGGTAGCTCTGGTGACGGCACAGCTAGGTATCTTGGACAACCAGAGGCTGCTGAAGATAATGGTGGGGTTGACCAGTGGAGTTGACACTCAAACAATGGAAAATCTACACTAGCGGCACGTGGAGGAAAGAGAAACCAAAACATGTGCATGTGTGTGTGAAGGTGGTTCAGCCTAAGATTTTGGAATAGGTTTGATCCGAAGTAGACAAGGCCAATGGTAGGGTAGCCAGCCAGAAAGCTCGCTGCAAAAAGTCTTTGAACGGAAGTGGGCTGTGGCAGAAGGCAAGATTCAAGCTGCCAAAAAGATGACATAGCAGAGGGAGACCGAAAACCAATCTAAGAATTCTGAAGAAGAAAGTGACAGCAGCAGACGGAAAAGCCAACTGGTAAAAAGAGAAGCAGTACCAATAATTGTGCGCCGGAGAGATAGAGAAGGTGTCAGAAGTAAAAAATGGCAAGAGCGATGGCTATCAAAAGGAAGAAAAATAGAAAAGCATCTTGGAAATTATGTTGAGCTACGGATTTTAGGAAATTCAGCAGTGCAATAATGACAAAACAAGTTACGCAGGATGGCCACACTATAATACCATGTTAAAATTACAAGGATATAGGTAAGGAAGGAGGAAGAAAGATGAAAGAAATAAGCAAAATAATAAAATTACATTGAAATTGATGTGAATGACGTATTATCAAAAGAAAAAGCACTAACTCTATATATACTAATAATATACTTCTAAGCATAACTAAATAAGGAAACGAATCATAAAATATAATGAAGAATAGAAACCATTCCTAAGAGATCATATAAGTTATAAACATAGTTTATGACAGAGTAATGATATGGTGAGGTATTTTCCAGATACAATTTACAACACTCAGATTTTTAAGGGGGAAAAAGCATGTATTTCAATAACACTGTAGCATTCAAATAAAGCCAATAGCTTGCAAAAGAAAAGACTAGTTTTCAGAATTTAATGAAACCCAACCATCTCAAACCGTTAGTTCACCACTTGGAAAATAAATACAAGCAAGTAAATGCAAAGTACTGGATTACATTCTTTAAATGCATTTACTCCTCACCTATTATTAACCAACTATAGCCAAATTTGAGAAATCCTATTTTGCCTATAGATTTTCAACATGAAGAATGTACGGCTTCAAGAAGAAAAATGACTTCTATAACATTGTTTTACTAGAAGATGCTTCCATAAATAAACCTTTTAGATAGGACTGGTTATATGTACTGGAAGGTACATCTGAATTTTTTTATTAAAACTATTATTTACTTGGTTTGGATATATGGGATGCTAATTAAAATGATTCATTTATTCCTACAAAGGTTGAAAATTATCAAATCTTAAGAGATGAGAACGAAGTGATGAGAAACAGAGAATTGAATTAAACATCAAAGTCAAAAACATCATCACTAGTGCCTTAGGAAATGATGACTATTTGTGTGTTTCTATATTGCCCTAATGTGAAGGGAAATGTGAGATAATATTGGAGTAACATGTGAGGTACTAGTGAATTGAACAAGGCAACTGACATTAAAATGAATTGTTTAGTAAACCAAGGTAGACATACAAGACATGTAAAAGCATTCTACTCACATTGTTAGTAATTTGGACGCCATTGGCAAGAATTATGCAAATGAGGAACTTTTTAGCAAAGCTTGAAGAGCCTGAATAGAAGATGGCAGCCCAAAGGCCAAAGTAGAAGCCAAAGATATCTCAACCATCTCCCTTGTTGCCATCTTTAGAAAGTTAGACAAACATGAGCCTCAACCAAAGTGAATAGCTGGGCAAGAAAAAGAATACCATAACTTCCAATCAAAAATATGATGAGGATGGAAATAAAGACCCATTCAACATCATTGAGGAAATCAATAAAACTATAGTCTTCTAGTCAAGCAATTTAGGTGGTTTATCACAAAAAGGATGAATGTAGCAATCCCTCTACCATCAAAGGGGAACTTTACTGAAATGGAAAGCTCAACTCAAGGGCAACCAATATACTACAAATGTAATAAACTAGGATATATAAAAATAGAGTACCCACTATACCAATGGAAGGCGGTAAGATATAAGGAGATATACCAAAGATAAGAAAGGAAAAGGAAGAATGTATTACATAAGAAGACAATGACACGGATTCTTCCATAGAATCCAAAAACAAAGGTGTGTAGTGTGTAATCTCAGCCTAGACTCTCAACCAAGGTATAATGAAATGCAAAATGCATTTGAATTCATTTAGACTCAATGGGATTAAACACGAAATTTTCAGTTTTCACTATTAAAGAAAAAAAACTCAAATCCGGAAAATGAAGTCACTCTTTAAAAAAGGAAAATGATAATTTGAAAATGAAAAGTGGAACTCTGGTATAATTGATGTAAACTCAGCAAATGTCACTTTAGCATATTTTATCCACCTCAACTTGCTCAACATGCCACAACTGAGAATTTGCCAAATTTGACACTTTCAAAAACACCTTGCCAAATTTAATATTGAAGGAGACAACCTTAATATATTATTCTAAAAAGATGAATGTTTGACAGATCCAGTTTGAGATACAATCCCAATATTCAACAATCATTTGTTCTAGCCCCTTTCAAGTGGTTCTTTCATGACGTTAATGTTGTGACAAGAACGGTCACAGTGCATCATCTACCACTCTTAGGAAAAAACTCATATATGGCACTTGATGATTTGGGTTCTCAAGGACTCATTGCCTAAAACAAACACAAAAGAAACCTAAAACATTATATATTTAATGTTAAAAAACTTAATATGTTTGTATTTCTTTCTTCACCTCAAAGGAAAGCAAGATATATAACATGCAAGGAGACAACTTTACTTCTAAGATGGGCCTTCAACTTTCTTATTCCTAGTTATTAATGATCCTCCTCTCATTAATGCACCAACAAATGAAGGAAAAGATGTGGCAACCTTGGAGAATGGGCATAATTATTGACACCTGGAAAGCAAGGAAATAAAATTGAAAGAAAAAATATCTTACTAGTGTCTTCACGTTATTGAATGTCAATCCACTTTCCATTTATATTTTTAAATAGAAAAGAAGAGTTACAATTCCAAATATCAACCCACTAACAACAGCTTAGGATTTTGGCAACTTCAAAATTTTAAATAACTATCAAGTACCAACTGATTACAATTTCTTCTTTTAGAGTATTTATTGCTGAAAAAATTCCAAAAGCAATAACAAATAAATTTATCTACATAGAACCAAAAGCACATCATCATACACTATAACTTAATCACAAAATTAGGAATTTCTGAAAAAAATACAGTTGCACTAAATAAATAAAGGGATATTAAAATTCACCATTGAATAAATTTAAGGCTATAACTTTCTCTACGATGGCCAGATTGTAACATACACACTACCCTCATCATTTATGATTTTCTCTTTTGGACAGAATCAGTACCCTCCCAATCCCCCACCTTCCCAATAAAGCTTGCCTTAACTAGTAACACAGGTAGTCCAATGACAGTCTTGTGCATCTGTGAAGCCCTAGTTTACTATCATCAACTCAAAATACTAAACTGAATACACAGTGGATCAAAGAAAATATTCAAAGATCACACTCATACCATATTTAGAAGCTTCAGGAGCTATCCTCTGCAAATAAACCAAGGGATCCTCGAATTCCTCTTTTGTTGGATAGTACACAGGACAATCTGGAATTTTCTCAGTCCATTCTAGATCACTTGTGTCAAACTTATCTACCTTCCTCTTGGAAAAGATATCTGCATTATGATGCAATCTCATTCCACATGCTGCTGAAGCTCTTAGAGAATCTCCTCCACTTCTGTTCATCATGTTAGCAATGCTAGTCTCAGTGGCAGATTCTTTTCGCTGAAGTCTTTTACGCTTCAAAAATTCTAACCCATTTCTAGCTTCTATAGATAAACGCACTCTTCTTCCCACCTGTTACATGTTTCATCATTTAACACTCAGATTAGCCAGTATGTAAATGGAACGATATACCGAACACACGAAAACACAACTACATCAATAACATGAAACTCATCAGGTCCATCATCTCACAATGAACAGACTGAAGTATATACATTAAAAGCATCATTGGAAAACTGAAATAAGGTGAAAAAAGTCAACCAAAACACTGCTCTTTAAATCGATAAAAGACAAACCAAGGGGGCATCGATGCATAGAATCACCTCACTCAAGTCAGAAAATAATTTGGTTAAGCAGAGAGAAAGGAACGCACTTTGAACACAAACAAGTTAAAACAACCCCTCCAACAGAAAAGTCAAACATAAAAAGGGCCCAGATGAATGCTTACTTAGTTTCACATATAATCATTGGGGAGTAAACAACTAGATGCCTACGGCATTCATTATGGAACAATGAAAGTCATATAAAGGTATTACTGTGAGCTGCGTCAAGACTCCATCCTGAGCCATACTTAAGTCACCATCTTTAGTATACGAACCGCAAAGGCAACAAAAAATTGACCCATCGACTGGATGACCACGACGCCAACTTGGAGGTTTTACAACGAGAAGAATTTAAATTCTATCAAACGCAAAAGTGATATATGGTCAACAGAAAATGATCTTTTATAGCATAAAAAAATTCAACAAATGCATGCGCTGAAATTTGAATAGTTACCACTTCTGAACATCTTTATTCTCCACCTTAAAATAAGCCAATCAAACAAAAGGTAGTATCAAACGTGTATATCGAATACAATGAACCATTAAAAAATATTCCAAAAAGAAAAAGTTACAGACAAAAAAATTATAAACCCTTGATGAAACAAAATGCAGTCTACTATAGAAAGTGGAGGAAAAATAAAACACAAGAGACCTATTTTTTCATATAATTTTCAGAGAAGACCTTCAAATTACTAATTAGAGGAACAACATCCACTCTCGCAAAATGCACCTTAAGCATCAATCTAAAGACATGAATTCTATCACACACTATACTGAAAGAGAGGGGGGGAAAAAGACAGGATAAATCAAATTAGAGATGAGATTGGAAAAATCATATTCACATAAACAGAATACAAGAAATCGTGTCCAACCCGCCAGATAGTAGAACGATGCCCAAGATCTGATTCATGAAATAAAACAAAATGCACTTTGCAGAGAGTTTCAAGAATTGATTGATAAAAAATAAATAAACAAAATCACAAGGAGAAAAGAATTTCTGGAGAAAGAACGCTTGACCTACCATTGCATTACGAAGTCGCTCCCTGTAGTTCTCCGTCTTCGTTCACTAGACAAGAAAACGCCAAAGACAAAGAAAGCAATCACGAAACCGAATCCAAATCCAAGAGTCAAACCCTAGATCACGATTCTTGATGTTGCAGATTAAGAGAGAACAATCAAAGACATCAAGAATCGCCACATTCTCCCAAAATGCCGAGTATAAGGCCAAAACCGGGTCACAGATAGATCCAACGCCTTCTACGACCAGCTGCTGCGAGAAAAATGCGAATGATTCAATCTGGAGGAACCGAGAAGCTTCCTCAGGAGACGCGAAACGTATTCGCAGTAAATGGAAGCGGTTTTCCGGCCACGGGAAGAGGTTTTCCGGCTAGATGAGCAAGGGAAACAAAACAACGGATGAGGAGAGAAAACAGTGTATGCTTAGAAAACCGAAAAAGAGTAAGAGAAAACAGGTTTTCCGGTTAATTTATAGTTTTATGTACTCCAAAATATTAATATTTTATTAATTTATCGATGGTTCGATTTTTGTGTTTTTTTTTTTTATTAATTTTGGTGTTTCTAAAAAATATAAAATTATGTCATTTTAAATAAAAAGATACGAATAATAAAAATTATGAAAAAAAGAAAATAAATAATTTTTATTTTATTTTTTAAAATAACACAAATATTTATCCTTTAAAAAGAAAAATATTTTTTTATTTATTTGCTAATTTGACTTCTAATTAAAATAAAATAAAAATTAATTAAAAAAACACAAACGAGATTGTGAGCACGTAGCAGGTTACTCAAACGAAATCCTTGCCGTTCATAACGCGTTTCTCAAGTCGCGTTTCATGAAATACATTCGCGACTAAACTCGCCGTTTCGATTACCGTTATATTTCGTATTGATTTATTGGCGGGTATAGAAATTGGAGAACCTGTAGTTACTATGTCGCTCGGAGGGCATTTCGGTAAATCATGGGGACGGTAGTATAATCGATGAGAATGAGACTCCAAACAAAGAAAAAAAGCAACGCGAAAAAGAGAAAAAAGAGGGGAGAAAAATAATTTTATTATAAATTAAATAGAAAATTATGAATGATTGTAGTGTGTCAAGTTCTGATTGGGCGTGACCAATGACGCCTCATGCAAAGGCCATTGCAACGTGTGTCACGCTTATTTAGGCATGACTAGTCACGTCTAAATTGGACATGTGTAGGCCTGGTTTGAAGTCCACCTAGAATGTGAATGGTGCAATTATTATCTATTTAAACCCTTATTCTCTATACACTCTTCACAATTTTTCTCTGGCAAAAAAATTAATTTATTATTTTTTTAATAAAAAATTATGAAAAAGTAGTCGTTTTAAAATTATTTATGAAAATATAACACTTGGGTGTGACAAGTAGAGGGAGACACGCCCATATGAGGCGTGATCTACTGGACAAACACGCCCAAAATGGGCGTGACCAGAAGAGAGACACGCTCAACAGGGGCGTGACCTCCCTTCAGTAAGAGCCATAGCAGCTACGAGGGGTAGCGCTTTCAATGCCTTATTGTGCCTGAGAAGCGAGGCTTCACCGATAATACCCTTTGTAGTTTTCATTGCTTTCCTTGCCTTCGGTTAAAGCATTCTTCAATAGAAATTATGGAGCAGATGCCCTTCCTTGGGAAAGCTAGAAGGAGAATGAAAGATAGAGGGACGGAGAGCATGCCAATCACTCACTCAGAGAGAGAGCCATCAGAATTGAAATCAATGATGCTACGGGGTCGAAATTTCACAACGCCCATTTTGAAATTATTCCAAACATGAAGGTTGCGTCTCCAGTATTTTCGTGAAGGGAGAAAAGAAATACGGTCAACAGTATTTGCATCTCCAACACCCAAACAAAAAAGGAGTAAAGCCAAGGAAAAGGATAAACCTTTAATAACCAAAAATGCTCAAGCTTCACAGAAGGCTAATCTTCTACAGTTCCTTGTGTTTATCTTTTTTTTATTATTATTAAAAAATTCAAGCTTTTATGAATCAGCAGGGGATAAACCTTTAAAAAAAATTCAAGCTTTTATGAATTAGTAGGGGATAAACCTTTTATGAATCAGTAGGGGATAAAGCTTGTAAAATTCAAGCTTCTGCAGTTCCATTGAATCCCCGTTTCGGAAGGGGATAAATGAAAGTTGGGCGTGTCCTGCAATTTTGGCTAAGTCCTGCACTTGTCTGCCACTCATTGCACTTCCACAACACAGAACATTGAAAGTGAAAGTTTGAAATTTCGACTAGGGAGGTCACGCCCATGTTGGGCGTGTCTCTCTTCTGGTCACGCTCACGCCTCATGTGGGCATGTTTGAGTGTTATATTTTCGTAAATAATTTTAAAACGAATACTTTTTCGTAATTTTTTATTAAAAAAGCAATAAATTAATTTTTTTGCCATTCTTCTATCATGAATCCTTACTTTTTTTTTTTTTTTGATAACATGAATCCTTACTTTTACATACAATATTATTAACTTATTCATAGTTTCTTATTTTGTTTGTTTAAATATTTAAAAATGAGTTCACATTTTGATTTTGTTCATGTTGTGTTGTATTACAATGGTACAAAGGTGGAAGGCTGACGTGGTGTAATTTTTGAATGTGAAAAAGAACCAACACGTATAAAGCACTACTCAACAATTGATGAACTGCATCAGAGAATTCATTAAAAGTTAGCTCTCCAAGAGAACCATTCTATCACTCAGGTCACCACAAGGTTATGGCAATCTGAACAATACATTAGTTTGCAAGTTATGGATGATGAAGACGTAGATATGATAATAGAAGAATTCTTCAACCAGTCAAGGAAAGATTTTTTGGAGTTGTATGTGAATATTGCCGGAGTAGAGAATGTTGTTTTACCCATGAGGTCAATTGCTTTAAATTCTCCACGTAATGCATCATCATCTGCTGCTCCAGTTGTTAACATTTCTGATGAAGATGAAAATGACCCTGCTTGGGTTACACATGACGACTATGATGATGACGATGATGAAAATATCGCAATGGAATAACGTCTCATGAGCGAGGATGCTAGTGATTCAGAAAGAGATGGCGGTATGCCTGCATCTCAAACCCTAAAATATCATGATTTGGTGGAGTCTCAAATCCTGCAACATAATGACATGGGCTCGGCTCAATTAGCATAATATCATGAAGGTATTTTAGTAAATAACTTGTATGTGATTTTGTTTGTGTAAATATTATATTTACTAGTATTAATTCGTAGAGGCGAGTGATGATGATGTTATTCCATTTTGGGATGAAATTCCACATTACATATATATTGATTGGAGTTATTAGAGCGAACTAGAATCATGTACTTATGGTTCGATTTCGGGATCGGGATCAATATAGGGTCTGTGGCAATTGGGTGATAAGTTATTTGTGAACCAAGAATTTGCAACTAAAAAAGAGGTGCAAATGGCACTCAAGACAAACCTAATGAGAGAGAATCAAGATGCACTTGTAATTAAGAGCATGCCTACAAAGTTAAGCATAAAATGTTGTGCGCATGTTCAGGGTTGCCCGTGGAGGGTTAGGGCAATAAAACCAGTGTTTGGTAAAAATTGGAAGGTTACTAGATGGAGTGAAGATCACAATTGTTTGAATGACCACATTTCTCAGGGTCACAAACAGCTTGATACTGATGTCATTGCTTCACTCGTCCTCGTACAAGATTATCGTCCAAATTAAATTATAATATATGATAATTCCAATTACTTGTTCTAGGTCATTATTCATTACCTAAATCACTATCAATTTTATAAAGCACACAAAAAATTCCAGGCAACTACCAAATTCCTAAACCACTAATTAATTTGTAGGTCAGTAACATTAATTCCTAAGTCACTACAAAATTTATACATCACTTGGTATTTCTAGAACACTAACAATTTCCTAAGTCACTAATAAATTCTTAAATCACTAACATATTCCTAATCTATTACTGTAATTTAAACATATAGAAAACAGATATTAAAAACTTTCTTTACAGACAGAGCTTCACTAACCAATTTTCCGCAGAAGAAAGAGCAACAGCGTCTAGAGAGAAGTAAGTGAGAGAGTGAAATGGTAAAAGTGAAAAAATTATGATTTATATAGGCCTTACGTATCACACCAAGTTTGGGCGTGATATGTGACACCCAACAGGGTATGACACACTGCAATACACGCATAAATAATTTCAAAACAACAATAAATTCATAATTTTTTATTTAAATTACAATTAATTAATTTTTTTCCAGAAAAAGAGATACGATTCTATTTTATTTATCTTAATTGAGTATGCTAATGTGGTAATTAAATATAATTAGTGTGTGATGGGTATTTGAATTATAATAATTGATTTAAATTAATTAATTTGATTCGTAAAGTAATTATTTTAATTAATTTTACTATTAGTATTTAAATCTATTTTTACATGCGTAATCATGAAAATTAATGATGTGATCATTAGCGATAAACAACTAATTTCTTAGAATATTTTGAAAATATTACCAAATTCAAAGAAGTGATGTTTGGTTAACTAAAAAAATAAAATATCTATATTTGAGGAAAATATACTTATCAAATGATTAGGAAAAGGCAAAGAAAAATGAATCTCAAATCTCGGCAAAAAAAATTTATAAAAAATTTAACATAATTGCTTGCACACACCTTGAATGGATTAAGATTGAACAACCCCTACCATGTACTTTGGGGGTAGTGGTCGAATTTGTGATATCTGATAATACATGTTAGAGTATGTTCATGCATTTTGACATGTTGTGTGGCATGTTGTTGTATTTATACATGTATCTCTGGCCAGTAGATAAATATTGTGGGGACTTCCACTGGATAGGTCTCCGTAGGGAGTTCCAATTGGATTTGCCTTAAAGTTGTTATCCGTTAAGGAGCACTCTAGGAAGTCTCGAGAGTTATAAGATGAGATCCTTGAACGATATCCTGACCAGGGATGTTCTTAGGTGTGTCCCAATTAGCTTTGGGTGTGCTGTATATTGTTGGCTTCGGGCCTGA